AGTTTTATATATTATATATTTAGTTATATGAAGACATGTTTGCAAACAATGCATTGCAATATGCAGCAGAAACAATTATACTGTGCCATTTCCATAATCCACTCATGTAACTGTAATGCAGTGTACTTGTACCAGTCTTTACATCAATGATGCTAAATTAACATTTATTGTACGTCAGCGGGGTATTTAAATCCCTGTACTATGGGGCTGCTCTCTGGACTTCAACTCCAGGTTTTATTAGTTTAGCAATGTGCTAGTGTGACTCTTGGCCAGCTGGACTGCATGTAAGGCATGACACAAGGCTGATAAAGGTTAATACTATCATTAAGCATTTGGGACAGCATTAATAGGTCTGATCTATGTTTGGTAGGTATCTTTGTATGAATACCTGCTGTCTGCCTATCGCAGCAGGTTATTCATGGTTTTCTTCCTCAATTCTTCCAAACAAATGCTAGGACAGGACATTAAAATAATCTGCTGCAGCTTCCTCCGAGTTCCCCTTCTGATTTTTCATTCACTATCTTCTTATGATATCTGATTTGATGTTGCTTAGTGCCAGTTGTTAATAAGCATTGTAAGTTAATGAAATAGGGAATACTGTCCCTTCATTATATGCAAATTTGAAGGTCTGAGTGTTTTGTGTCTATGCAGGTAGCCCAGACAACAATGTGTGAACATTTATTTCCCTGTGTTCTCTGTCAAGTGCATGAGACAGATTCACTCAATCCAGAACAGTGTGCTAACTGCACAGAACTGATAATTGAAGAAGTAGATGACTTATTTGAAGAGGGTGAGTTTTCATATTTATGAATTTCTGACTACATCTGTTCAAAAACTGTTGTTATTAAGTTATGTTTTTATGGGTGGGACATGTAGCACATTTAGGTGAAATGATAAATTCATGCAAGATTTTATTTGGAAAACTGAAAGAGAGAACCACTTTGGAGACCTATGCTTAGATTTGAGGATACTAATAAAATGGATGTTGAAAAACATGGTGTGATGTACAGTAGAGTCCTGATTATCCAACATGCTGTGTCAGAATACTACATTTTATCAATAGTCAACTCTGCATGTAGTGAAATTAATCACACTCTCCCACCATGCAACCTGTACATTTAATGTACTCATTTGCTACCAACGTACCACTGTTTAGTAACTGGTGTGATCTTGTTGCAAAGAAAAGGAAGGAAGCTTAGAAGCAAATACCCATTACTAATTTCTTTAAAAAATAAATTCTTTCATTTACAAATTTACATTATGTTAAATACTATTTTTGTCTGTAATATTTATTTTATTTGGAGACATATTTGATTTTCCTCATAATTTAATACCATAAATTGAGTTCATATTTAACCCCATCTTTTTCATTAGTCTTCTGTATTGTCCAACATTATTGATTATCTGACTATCCTCCAGACCCATTTATGTCAGATGATTGGAAATCTACTGTATTATTAAAGCAAAATTAAGAATTTTAATCCAGATGAGTGTTATATGATGGTTATTTCTCAACAGTCAACATTGTTACACACTGCATTTCAAATGTCCACTATATATTATCTCTCCAGTGAGTAGGAGGAATTCTGAAAAATGACACTGTATTAGGCCCTTCATGTTGTTCAACTGTTATACCGTAAATTTTAGGTAGCATTTCTCCAACAAATGAAATGTCCCTTGTGGTTCAAAAAGGATGTTAATTTTTACAATTATGATATTTTCCCATTTCATGGGGTATTTTAAATTTGACCTGGAAATTTATATGGCATTTCATTAAATTGTTTTGCCTGCTTCTTATATAGCCAGTCTTCTCAAGGTACAAAAATAGAACTCTAGACTATAGTCTTTGTAGACTATGCAGAAATGAAAACAATACATGCCATAGGGGAAACAATGAAAGTTTGGAGTCAGATTTGAACCCCTTACATTTTTGTGGATGTAACAGTAAAGGTCACTGTAATACTTTCTATTCATGTCATGGGTTGAAAGCAGATTGATGATGTTTTCATCTGCACATTGTGTGTGTGTGCATGCGCGCGCATGATTTAGGATATGAAACATGAACCCTTTGTTTGTATTTTGTGACATTTATATAATAGTATGACTTGTATTTGTATAACATGTATTGTATTATTATGACTTATTCTACATCCTATTGTCATCTCACTAACTTATGGATCCATGGAATGTAATAAAGATGTATGTATGTTGTAAGGGAAGTCTGTTCCGTTTCTTGTGTGCCAGCCTTCATTGAACTACAAAGTCTTACATTGTGTAGTAATTCATGCAGGTGTGTTTTTTTGTTTCAGAGGGCACAAACTGTGTACAATTCTATGGAGAGTGCCGTTCTGAATACCAGTACCTATACAATGAGACATCGGGCATTATAATAAGGACATTACGTAGCTTGAAGTGCCCCTTGCAATTGAGTTTTACTCGTAAGCTATTTGTGATTTACATTCATTATATAACATCTGTCTGGTGAATTACATTATCATTACCAATACCTTTGTTTTTAATTTTGGCTATTTATTGTATTCAAGTCCAGATATTATCAAAATATGTCATGAATCAGGAAACCAGGCCTACTTGAGGTTTTCAACATTTACTTCAAAATATGAAGCACTGCTGATATATTCTTAACCACTAAACGCACTTAATTTTGTATTATAATTCTGGATGCAAAGGAGACAGTGTTATTTGCGGATGTGATCTATTTCAGTTGCTAAGACTCTTGGATACCTTCCTGTACCATATTTCAGTGCATGTTTGATACTGTTTTATATACTTCAGTAACCTTATTTCTATTCTCCGGGAATTCAAATTGCTAGTAGTATTAGTCTTAGGCG